GCGGCAGCAGTTCGAGCTGCTGCAGAGATCGCAGATAAGCATGAGATGCAGCCGATAGATATGTGCTAAAGGCGCTAATACACTTTCAAACCAATACTATTTTTAAATGTTAGCCGTTAATGTGGAACTATCGCTATTCCACGAGGCTGCGTCCTTAATGGGAGAAGAAGTGAAGACTGCCATAAGGGAAAGACGAAAATGTTTAAATTTACCTCGTTGATTTCCTTTGCAATAGAATTTCTGGTGAGCTGTTAGATTGTCGATGTTATTGAACTTGGCGATATGACATTTGGGACATGGATATCCTAAATTTTTGTATTAAGTAAAGGTAACGTTGAAAAGGAACGCGAAATTCAAAGTGTTGATTTGTTTCATTCCAAAGGGTTACTTTCTCAGAATGAGAATATTTAAAAAAATAAGTGATTGGAAAGAAATGGATTAGTGCAAGAATTTTATTAGTATGTAGGCAAAATTAAGGGCCAAGCCGGTGATCGAAACCGGGACCTCTCGCACCCAAAGCGAGAATCATACCACTAGACCACTTGGCCTTAGGCGACAAAACGAATAGGATTTTAGAAGAAATATTCGCAATTGCAAATAAACGTTGGAAAAGCAACAGGCTCACTGATGAATATTTGTAGTATTTATTGAGTTTACTTTTCTTTGGATTAGGCAGTACTTTTCTACCCATTAACTTTGTAACTTTTATTTCTGCTCCTGTTAGAAAACGAGTTTTACAATATTCAATAATGTGAAAGAGGATTTTATTTGAAAAACCCGCAAAATTCATTATGGAAACATACTTTTTTCAGCAGTATCTTCTGAGGCTGTAGATGGTTGCTGTTGTGGTAGAAAAATAGCTACCAAGTCATCGCCGCATTTGACATCGCGGGTGACTAAGATTTGAATGAGAGACTCTGAAAGGATTGGATTTAATCGAGATTTTTTGCATTTTAAAGAAAGGGGAGGAGAGAACAAACGTTTTTTCAGAAAATTAATGTTTCAGCGCATATTTTCAAAACGTGTGTTATGCTTGCTCTTTGATGAGCAATTTTAAAGAATCTGGAAGCATGCAAGCTTGCTGTTATGGCGCTGATAAGCTTCTGGCGGACTGCCAACTGCTTGCAATCTCAGGTTCACAGCTATTTGGTTCCTTTTCCGCAATTTCCTGTTGTCCGTTTCAGTAAGAAAATGATTTTATCTTTAAGATGTATGTTGAAGCAATGTTACTG